CCAGAAAAGGGAGAAGAAAAGCACGCGAGGAGCGCCAAACATCTAAACCACTACAAGGTGTAGAACGCCGCCAGGTAGTGTACTTATACATTACTAGTTGTCACCCTGACACAGAGGAAGAAGACATAGAAGACTTCCTTACCAAAGAATTTGAAAACATATCAAATGTAAAAGCATACAAAACAAACATGACACACCAGTATTATTCTAGCTTCACTGTAACTATTAGAGGCAAAGACATACACCCTGATCTCTTCACAAATTCAAATGTTTTCCCAAAAAATGTTAAAGTATTTTTAAACAAAAACAAGTACAAGGACGATCAGCTGGTTTGACACACTCACACACCGAGACACCGCCGTCAGCAAGACCGACGGTCAGATCACACATGCTAAAAATAGAACACATCAACGCACAATCTCTCCTTGGTCATCTTGACGAGATAGAAATGCTTATATTGGAGAGAAATCTTGATATATTATGTATTAGTGAATCATGGCTTTACCAAGATATGTCAAGCGCATTCATCAAAATACCAACTTTCAATGTTTATAGATGCGATGCAGGACGTGGTGGAGGAGTCTGCATTTATGTACGAGATACTCTCAAAACAACTGAGATATCCGCTACAACTGCAAGGGGTGCAGATGTAGAGGATATTTGGGTTAACGTACAGTGCAATATGCTTCCGTCATTCATTGTAGGCGCAACCTATAGGCATCCTCATGGTTCCTCTGAATCTTTTGATTATATAGAAAAAGTTTTTAGAGAAATGTTACTTAAAAAGAAACCTCTTTTCATACTGGGTGATTTAAATGATGATTTAAATAAACCTAATGCAAAACTATTTAAATTAATTAGGAAACACAAATTAGAACAAATATTCAAAAAACCTACAAGGGTCACAGAATACACTTTATCATTAATTGATGTAATAATAACAAACAGAGCTGACCTCATTCACCATACAAACGTCATTCCATGCCATGTTGCCGATCACGAACTCATAACAGTGACGCTAAATTTAAAGAAATCAAAAAGACCACCAGCCATAAAAAGTTTCCGAGAATTAACCAACTACGACCCTCAGTCATTATGCCAACAAATAATTGCCAAGGAAGCAACTCTTTTAGAAATATTGCAAACAGATAATGTAGACAAACAGGTAAATGTCTTTACGGAAGTGATTAATGACAGCATAGATGCCATCGCTCCATTTGTTACAAAAACTGTTAGACGTCCTCCTGCTCCATGGATAAACAGCGACATCAAGAGAGCAATAACAGATAGAAATAGCGTTCATAAAGCTCTCAAAAATGACAGACACAACATGGGACTCCAAAATAACTACAAACAAAAAAAGAGAAAAGTCAAATCACTTATACAAGGAGCCAAAACTGATTATTTTAGAAATAGGTTAACAACTTGCAAAAAAGACTCTGCTAAAACATGGAAAATCATTAAAACACTTGTACCAAACCAAAAACATCACAGAGATCATCTAAACACCAGTATTAGTGCAAATGAATTTAACGATTTTTTCATTAAAATTGGACATCTCACATATAAACTAACATACGCTTCCAGATCTCAGCAAAAGGCAGGTAGGATAAGGCCACTAGCAAATATTTTCAGACCAAAACCTGTAAAAGTAGAAACAGTAATCTTAACAATAAAACACCTGCGTCAAACTAATGCTGTGGGAGCAGATGGTATTGTTTTTCGCTTTATTAGAGACAGTCTACCTGCAATAGCCTACTATCTAACGGTAATTATTAACACATCCCTAGTCACTGGTGATTTCCCATCGCTTTGGAAACATGGCATAATAACACCAGTTTTCAAATCCGGAGACACAGACGAAGTCAATAACTATCGCCCTATAACCATACTGCCTATACTGTCTAAAGTTCTAGAAAAAATCGTAGCAGACCAATTATTCCTGGAGACAAATAACATACTATCTAATTCACAACATGGCTTCAGAAGTAAATTGTCTACTGAAACAGCATTATTACAGATCACAAATAAAATCTATGAGAACATAGACAACAATCAAATAAACTTGCTAACATTGTGCAATTTATCCAAGGCTTTTGACAGTGTCAACCACGAAATCCTCCTTCGTAAATTAATATATCACAACATCGATACATACTGGTTCAGAAGTTATCTAAGCAACAGAAGCCAATCAGTCAAAATTCACGAGTAAATATCAACAAAACAGATAGTCTCTTTCGGTGTTCCACAAGGATCAATATTAGGCCCAATTTTATTTACAATATTCGTAAATGACTTAACACCCATAGCCCAAAACTGCTTTCTTGTTCAATACGCCGATGATTCCCAATTTCTCCACAGTGATTCAGTAAACAACTTAAATGAACTAATAAAAAAGACCCAGGAGACATTGACACAAATAAAAGGATACTTTGACACAAATGGCCTTAAGATAAAACCAGATAAAACACAATGTATCTTCATAGGTAGTCGCCAAAAT